ATATGGATAAATATGGAATTAAGGTTTTGTTTGGGGAGAAATTATTTCGTGCAGAGTCCGGACGATAAAGAACAATCCGGATGTGAGTGCACAGTGTTTGTACACGCTGTGAATAAAAAAATTCTAAATTATGTACAAAATTATACTCAGTGTACACACTGTGTACACTCACATCCGGACGTTCTTTACCGTCTGGACTCTGCACGGAATAATTTCCCTTGTTTGGGGCAACCTTTTTAGTGCTTTCTAAAGAGTTTTTAGTAGAAAAATTTCTAGTTCAAAAAATTAATGTACTAAAATATTGTTTAGTAAGCAATAAAAAAACTGTATCAAACGAAGCTTAAGTTGAATGCCTTTAAAATATAGATATATGGTGTGCAGCTAATTAATGATTCAAGCTAAGACAAACATTATGCAATTATGTGTGTTGACAGCCCTTATAACTCTTTTTGGTAGCAAAGTATATTGTTATTATTTCTTTCCATGACATTTTCTTTCTTAATTATTATTCCTCTTATTTAGGTAAAGGAGCTTATATTTTTTATGATAGAGTTAAAATTTTGTTGTGATAGAGATCGAGAGTTTCTTCTTTGCTTGATGAGGAGTTCTTGCCCAGTGACAGATAAAAGAGAAATGTAATTACAAAGATTTAAAGAGCATAAGAATTTTTAGTGAGAAATCTAAGAAAAAAAAAAAAGTAAAAAAGAAAAATAATGAGGTGTTGTCCAATTAGAATGAATTTGTTAGTTTTGATTTGAGATTATATAGTTTTTTTCTTCCCCATAAATCGAGAACGTGAAAATTGATGTCTGGTGTAGGAGGAATTATTTTATAAGAACTTCGTACGTTGCTCTATATTCAGACTCCAATTAAATTAAGACACGTGATTTTTTTTGTCCCAACGACCCGTGATTTTAAAATTTTCATAGCTAGGCTGGGTCAGATTATCGTTCTTAAGAAATCTACATCCTTAATTTAATTGGAGTCGGGACGTAGAGCTACATCCGGATACCGCACTGAATAATTTTCCCGAGTGTAGTGGGAGACGACGATATAAAAAAGGACATTGGATGTCAATACATGATGTGGATGAAAGGTGAAAATGGGGCGTCTGGTGTAGGCAAAATTATTACATGAGGTCACCAAACACTATCAGGAGGTCAATCATAATTGCCACATCACCAATTTATTGTGTACCGTTACTATGCATCACTATGTATCATGTGACATTGTGAGTTCTGATTGATCTCCGGATGGTCCGATGACCAAACATAATAATTTCTCTTGGTGTAGGATATCATAATATGTTATTCCACCTCATTCTTAGTGTTTCATATGAGATGAATCAATTGCGAGCATCAAGCACTAGCTAATTATCTACTAGATTTATTTTAAGATTAATGCCAATCTGGTATCTTATCCTTATAATGATGAACCTATTATACTTTATCACTCTTTTCAAAACTCTTTCAACTTCTAAAGGCCCAAATCTTCTCAAAGAAGTAGATGCTACTATCTATGTATTAATTAGGTATAATGTCTTTTTCGGTCTGTGTAAGAAAATATTTATCTCACTAACCATGACTTAATCTCCTTTAAATAACAAATTTGTGATAGACATCAAAGTTTGCTCAAAGGTCACTTTTCTCATGCTTAAAGTTGGCAGCTTATAGATGATTCTTGCAAGCAACAGAACAAAAAGTTTCAGGAAAATATCAAAATTGGGGTTATTTGGATGTTCATAGGCTCATAGCTAGATGATGATAGTTAGCCGTCTAGTTGGATGATAACGGTTTTATGACAGATGTCGGATGATGGTGATTGTTGGGCGATGAGAGTCCAATATTGATAGTGGTCCAGCGGCGATGGTTGGGCAGCGACGATCTCACAAGAGTAGTCAGGTGGCGCCGATAGTCCAATGATATTAGTCATGTAAAGCTTTAGTATTATTAAACCTCTAATTTATCTATGATCTCAAGTCAAGGTCTATTTCATGTCGAGACGATGAGACTATGAGTTTATTTATATTTTCTTAAAGAGAAATTTTAGCAAATCTAACCAAATTCCCATATCACTCTAGATCAGATGTGTATTTTCTTTAGGAATAAAGAAGATTAATTTGACTGTTATGTATGAAAAATTCCACTTAATTGCAAGGGTTATGATAAGATGGAGTATTAATTAACATATTTGATTTTGATTTGAAAAAAATTTAAATATAATATTTCCCATTTAGACAGTCAGGTAGGATTGATATAGCAATATTACAAAATGATAAATATGAACAACTGCCAAAGTTCAAAATAGCAAAGTTAAGCGGTCTCTTTCTTTATCTGGATTGAAAACATGGATAAGATTTCTCGCTCACATTTTTATTATTATTATTATTTTTTTATTTTTTATTTTTTTTTTATTTTTCTAATTAAAATGCTAAATAAAGCTTTAGTGTTTATTAATTTTGTTTAAACAAGCGCAGGTGAGCATTCCTTCACTAATAGTACTAAATTATGATTGTCTTTTTTTTTTTCTTTAAGATTCTTATTTTCAACCATATATATAAACCATTATCAAATCAATGTCTAAAAAAGGAATTATAAACCATTTTTATGAGTTTTTAATATTATCATATACATTATTCTTTTCTCATGTTCCTATCTTTGTCACTAAGGGGCTAGTTGGTTGCTGGATTTAAGTAAGATTTATGCTAAATTTATTATGTGTTGGAATATTCATCAATATATATATATATATATATATTATGTGAAAAAATTCAAAGAAGGAAAAAAATCATACGGCATGATCTAGTTGAAATGATTTTACTCATTTGTTATCACAAAGGATGTCTTTTCTTGTGATTGAGAAAGTGTTTAACATAATATAGTATACATAAATTATATATAATGAATTTTATCGTGGAAGTTAGAATAATCCTATACTATGAGAGTTATCTTCAAGTGATTGTTTGTTGTTGGTTTGCTCATTCTTCTTTAATAAGGTGAGATCAGAGACTAAGATATCAAACATAAATCTTGGTGTTGATATCAGGAGTCAATGTTAGTGTTTATGATAGTTGGAGGATTGTAATCAGTCGACTATGATCAGATGGTCGTAGTTTGGTGACAGTGGTTGGAGGATTTTCAGGTGACGATGGTCGAAAGATTGAGGTCGGACGACGGTGATCAGAAGAACCATATTCAATGTTAAGAAGATCATTATTATGCAATGATGATAGATAATTGTAGTCGTGATGATGATCAAAGTTTTTGTAATTGAAAAATGATGGTTAAAGAATCATGATTGGATTATGGTGCTTGGAGAATCAGAGTCGCATGATGCTAGTCAGAGGACTATAATAAATGAAAGTAGTTGGGAGATTGTAGTTGAGTGATAGTGATAAGACCATATTCAGGCAATGGGGGTCCGAGGACTAGAGATGGGCGATTATGATCAGATGATTATGATTAAGAATGGTGGTTGAAGGATTCTAGTTGGATGAAGGTGCATAAAGGACACTAGACAGGCAATAGCAGTCAAAGGACCAAAGTAGGGTGATGATGGTCAGAGAATTGTATTTGGGTGATGGCAAACGAAGGATCTTAATTTAGTGATCATAGTTGGGTTATGGTGGTTAGAGGATTATAGTTGGACAATAGTGATTGGAATACCATAATTAGGTGATTTTTGTCGAAGACTAGTAATCGGGTAACGCTTGTCCAAGGACCATAATCGAGTGATTGTCGTCTAGTGGTAGCGGCCCGGTGGTTACAATTGGTCAATTATTTGATGGTGTCAGTCGGGCATTGTTCCTACAATAATGCTTAGGTAAAGCTCTGTGATTCATCAAGTCTCATAATTGTCTTGAACTCGAGCATATGACCAAGTCCCCTCCTTATGTAGAGAATATACTTACATATTTTCAAAAGTGGCATGCCTTTTAAATATTACTAGATTTTGAAACACTCTATCGAACTATCCATATTGATCCCTCGATAATGGATTCTGGAAATAGATAATTTATGGCATTTGGTTGCCCTTAATAATTTTGGACAACGAACACCAATGAGGCGATAGTAGTTTAAGGACCAAACATTCTATTGTCATTTGGTTGCACTTAATGATGGTGGAATAAATATTTTTGGGCTTGTTAGATTTATCTTATCAAAACACTCAATTTGACTAAAGCCTGTGACCTTTAAGATCGATTGATCATTTATTCAATATTATGAAATTGTTAGTTACAATTTAAGTATTTGATTTGCGATCATTTGGACTCGAATTATTTCACTTGTGTGTTGATGGGTTCATCACATTAAAACGTTTGATTTGACTATAAATTTTGTCAAAAATGGATTAAGAATGATTTGAATTTATTATAATCTAGAAACTCATGCTAGTCACATGAATTTTATGGAGAAGTGAATTTATCATAAATTTTGCCAAAAAAATCAAAATGATATAAATAAATTGAAAAAAAAATTATGCTTAATACATTACCATTTATATTAATATTAAGGTCATATATAATATTATGTATAATTTAATATTTCATCTATGCCGCTTTTCTTCTTTCCATTTCTTCATTGTTGTTGTGTGTAGTAGGGTTCTGAAAGTGTCGCTTTGAGCTTCTCCACCTCGAACGACGTTGCTGTCCTACTAAGCGTGAAGCTTCTTCACCTTTGACGATGATGTTGTTGATGTCAAAACGGAAGTCGCAATGAAAGCTCGCCGCGAAGGTAATGATATTTCTCTCATTTTGGGTGCTTCTTCAACTAAATTCACCAAAATGTTGGATTTACGAAATCCGGGATTTAGGGCAAAAGTGTTGAAAATACCATGAAGTCAAGCTTAGACTTACCATGAGATTTAACTTTGCGTTTGGCAGAATTTAGCTCAAACCTTGTCTAAATCCGGCCTAATTTCTTCATTCAAACAGCCCCCAAAAATTTCATTATTTTGCATATCCACTATTTTTTTTTCAAATACATCCTAGAACTTTCATGAGCCCATTTTACTTTCAATGACAAAATTCGGTAGTTTTTGCGGATTTATCGATTTACACCCACTCTCTCCTTTTTGTCGGTCTATCTTCTTGGCCTAGAGCTTCTAACTCTGTCGCGCAGGTAGCCACAAGAAAGCCCTAGTTCTCGATTTCTTTCCTTCTTCTCCTAGCTTGCGATTTCATCATCATCCGCGCTCTTCCTTTGCACAGGTAACAGCAGGACAACGTTCTAGGAGCCGCTGATCTCCTTCCTCGCTCCTTGTTCTGGGGCATCTGCCTTCCCGCGTCTTCATTGGATCGCTAGATACACCGCAAGCAGGTATGATCTTTTGTCCGGACCTTTGTTTATGTCTCGGTTGCTGAAGCCTTTTGTTCTGGAATCTTTGTTTCAGCGATTAAACATAGGTGTTTTATGTTGTTAAACTGTGGGTCTATTGTACAGATCCGATTAAAGTGGATTGAAATTGGAGAGTTTTCGATGTATTTATGATGACATTTCTTTAGTTGTTTTCGATTTGGAAATAACGATGTTGAACACCTGAAAATTGATGTAATTCTGCATTTCAATAGAAAATCCGTAAGTGCTAAAATGTAGGTTTCAAGTTGAAAATTGTTTTACGTTAATTTTTCTTGTATTATATTAAGCAGTATCATGTTGTTCTTTATGCCCCAAATAACTTAAAGAATATCATAGCTTTAAAATTAGGGCAAGTTGAACATCGCTAATCTAGATGACATTACGAGCTTAAAAATTCAGCTGCACGTGTGAATTTTAATTGTGATGTTGAGTGCAAGCGAATATTGAACGTCCATCAACAATCATAGTTGTTTGATTGTCGTGGAAATGCAGTGGGTAATAATCACCCTAATCTTGAATACTTACCCTCATTTATATTCAGTAATATAATGACAGATTTGTGATAGAATGAAAGTATAATGACTGCCTTAATCATTAATAATCACATGCATGTATGATAACACATTATTTTTTACTAATTTTATAAAAGTGGGAGTTGGAACTAAGGGCACAAGCCGACTATTTCACCCCTAGAGGAAAAGTTAGGTCCAATCCACATAGACCCGTTTATAATCTAGCCAATATCACAATGTTTACAATCTACGAATCCATTTTCCCCTAAAACTTTTGAGTTTTAGATTTGAACCCTGAACCCTAAATCCATCCTAACCTACTTCAAGCGTTGCAATGCGAGCATAGTACAAATTGGACAACCTGTTATGTGCTAGGAAATTCGCCCATTCTTCATTTTATTTTAGCATCCAAGTGATTGTCACAGCTTTGTGCCTTTCATCATCCCAACTCCTTCCGATTATTGTAAGTTGGAATATTTTGTATTGGGTATAATTTTAACTTCTCTTTCTATGCATTTCAATTTGAGGTGCAATCTAATGGGATTCATTGATCATAGCAAGGAACTTGGGATGTGAAGAGTGATCAAGTTCTCTGGAGTTCTTTTGAATTTCTCTTTGATTATCATTCCTTTTTTGCTTTTCTCCTAACATGTTTAATTGATTTCACTACTTTGCGGTTTGCGTATATATTGTAATAATTTATCATCTCTCATCACTAACCTATGTTGCACCAATATGGATACACTGACACGATACGGATATGGGACACATCAATTATTAAAAGTTAAAGTTACGTGTACAACACGAGCATGAAATTATAATTTATAAATCATACATTAAATTAAGAGAGCAATTAAAGCATAATATTTAAAACGACAAAAAAATATTATAGCAACATCATATTTAATCTTGTTGCTTATAATTTCAAAATAAAAGTAAGCATTAAATGTTTAGTACAACATTAAAAATATAAACATAAACTATCTAGTGCATGAAGTTTCAACTATTCAGTGGAAGGAATGATAGGATTAGCTTCTTCAGGGATTTGTCTTTGGACTTTTATATCATCTTCAATAAATATTATTGCTTCCAATTCATTCAGGAATGAAACTGTGAAAGATTAACAATCTCCATTATTCCCATATCACAAGGGACTCAAAATTCATTTCCAGTAACATCCCACATCTTGTTATCTCCTTCCATATAAGTTGGAGTCATTCTTGATAGAAGTCGAAGGCTTGTATGTACATAAACTAAATCTTCAGTCCGTTGTGTAGTAATTTTGATCCTTTTCATTGATTGGATGGAGTATGTGCTAATTTTTTTCACAACAAGAGGTGGATGAAACTTGACAAAGAAGTTTTATGATGATTATTTGAAGTAGAAGGGGCAGAAGCTCCATGAATTAACCATCACATCTTTGGATCAATTCTCCACCTATCACTTAAAGATTCTTGGTCACTAAAGTCTTCTAAATTACCAAAAAAATTAGCAAGCTCTATATTGACAATTCTTCTCTCCTCATTTGGAAAATAACATTTCAAACATGTTTTTCTCATATTTGCTATTTCTAAATCTTTTTGTGGAGAAACTCGTTTAGGATCCTCTTGAAGTCATTCTTTACTTGAATATCTTCAAATAATAGCAAAATAAAATAAAATTAAATAAGTAAAGTCAATTGAGTATTCCATCCTTAAGTCCACCAATAATAAGATAATATGCAGTAAAAATATGTTGCTTATTGTCAAAAAAACATTGTTAATAAAATCTTAAAACCTTATTTTGCATCAGCTGTAATAAAAACTGATTGAAAATCGAAGGTAAAGTTGAGATGGCGTACCTGCTCGCAAAAACCGCCTTCCTTGCTCGCGTACCCTCCTTCGGTGTCGGCTACTTGTGTAAACGAAAAATACACACGTAACCTAGCCCTTTGCTCGCATACCTCCTTCGGCATCCGCTGCTTGCGTAAACAAAAAATCCTCTGGCATTGGCTACTTGCGTAAATGAAAATACACGCATAACCTAACCCTCTGCTCGAGAAAACGACCTTCCTTGCTCGCGTACCCTCCTTCGACATCGGCCGCTCCTTCGGCACCATTTGCTTGCCTAAACAAAAATTAAAAGTATAACCCTAATTCCCTGCTCGCAAAAATGAATAGGCGAATATGTGCGGCTGCCCGTTTTATTCAATTAATTTTTTATTCATTATTTAATAGGATACACGTGTCTGATACGCGTATCCTTTTTAAATTAAATATTATTTTAATGGGATACCCCCTTGCCGTATCAGACACGTATATGAGCCGTATCGGGTACGTATATGTGTCCGACACGAATTTGATATGACACGCCTTCATAAATAGGTGTATCAGTTCCTCATAGTCACTAACATTTCCTAACTCAAGTTAGCATGTTCGATATTACCTTGAATTTGCTGGGTAGTGTTATAATATCTAAATATTACATTTGCTATTATTTATCATAGGAATATGCTTTATTTATTATTTCAATGTTTCCTTGTTATTGAGGTTATATTTTTTATTATTTCTCTTCTCTTGCTTATATTTAAACTCACATATGCTTGTACTAAGAAGAAAATTGATTAAAGATGATAGACTTCTTTTTAAGTCTTTCCCTTATAACAAAGGCTACTAACACTCTATCCTCAAATGATACCAAGGGATCATGGGGAGATGCGCCAAAAAATTTCTGAGCAATGCATATATATGTATATATAATCCTATCTTTTAATGTCAATTTAAACAAGTTATTAATCTAACGTGATTATAAAAATAACCATTTTTATGATTAAGAACCCATAATTGATTATTGACATGACAGGCTTTGATATAAAGATTCTCATGTGCGAAACTACAGCTTTATAAATCTTTGAGACTAATTACCCGCGTATTACTTAATATGTGTGATCATAATATTATATTTAAGGAATAAAAACAGCAGAAAAGAATTAATTGTATGCATATACTAAAAATAAATTTGGATTAGCAGAATATGTCACTAAGGAGAGGATTAAGGGCATAGCTGTGCCACAGCCAACTCAATCGAACGCTTCTTCGGGTTAGGTGAATCACATCGGCATAATACATTATAGAAATTTTAAGTTGAAAACATAATACTTTTATTGCAATCGATGAGAAATGATCCTCACTTCTCTATAGAATTGTATTCTATAAAAGAACTATAGAAAATAATCTCCATTGATCCATTGGTAGATTAAAGTGGATTTATTCGTGCTAGATCATATGAGGGATGGGTAGCCCAATTAAAAATGCTTACTAATGAGTGGCGACCTCAATATAGAACTGTGATAGATTACTAGAAATGATTCTAGCTTTTCTTAGCTCTCTTAAGAAAAAATGTTTATATTTCTTTTATTTGTTATGCTTGATTAGATGTGCATCTTTCTTTAGAACCCCTAAACATACAAGATCCAAATACATTGCTTGAGCCTATATGCACTATCCAGTAATCTCTAACTTTATGATATTATCTTTAGATAAAGCTAAATTCTGTTTAAATTCAAAAATTGGATTGATATTTATAGATTAAAGGCAAATTGTGTAGGTATGCATTCTGCTCTAGATTAAGAGCTTGAAAAGGTTCAGATGTGCGTGTATGTAGCTTTTTAAAAGAATGGACAGAAAAAACATTCAGGTTTCATACTAATTGGTACAAAATTACTATAGAAAATTCACTAAAAACCTTTCCAGCTTCGGCAAATGATTTATATGTTTTTAGTATGTTGAGTAATTTGATTTGTAAGAGTGGCGTGCATTTTATACATATGCTCAACAAACTTAAAAGTAGACAAAAAAATGTAGTATGTAAAGCTAGTACGAAGGTTTTTAGTTTTCTTTGGGGGGATACCTTGAATAATTTCCCATGATGACTTGCTTGCCGTATGATTTTTGGTACTATTATAAAGAAACCCAAATATTGTTAATCATATTCCATTTGCCCAAATTGATCACCCACTAGACACTGAAGGAGGTTGTCTGAATTTTGATTATCGACTTCAGCTTGACTGTAAGTTTTGGGTTGAGTGTAAGGAGATTGAGTGCAGTGCTAAATTTTTTTAATTAGGTACTTCAAAAATGACCAATAAAAAATGTATCGTTATTTGAAATAATTATTGAGGGTAAGCCATGAAGATGCATGCTCTCCTTAAAGAAGAGATGTGCGATTTGGGTCACATAAAGAATTTTGCTATATGGCAGGTAGTGAGATATTTTGGAAAAAATATCACCCACTATGTATTTAGTATTGAATTGATGGGCAGGGAGAGCTAGTCTGTCTATGAAGTCCATAGTCAATTCTGGGGTATAAGAAATTAGCATAGGCATATATGATCTAAATTTCAACTTGAGTGTTTTGCCTAAAAGGAAAATAAGATACTAACCCATTATAACTCATTATATGAGCTCAACCATGTTTTAGGGAAGGCCAAAAGAAATTGTCCTTGACTATAGCGATGGTCTTGTCAGTTGTCACAACTAGTATTTTCAACTTAACTTCACGCATGGAGTTCCCAATTTAGGAAATTATAAATAATGTTCAGCGAAAGCATATGTGATTATATTTTTTAAAGAAGTCACTTTAAAGAAGTCACTTTTTTTAAAATTAAAATTCAAATGTTAGTGGGTGTTTGTCTGAGGCAAGTGAAAGATTAATGTCCTTCAAGTTAGGATAAGAGTGATAACTATCTTTCAATTGATTGAAACTAGTCGCTAAAAACAAATAGTTTAGTCAAAATGAGATGTATGTGGCCAAGTGTGTCTATGGTCTTTTTGTTCACTCGAACACAGTGGTGCAACATGAAAAAATATTCTTGAAGAATTGATATTCATTTTGATGGAGTGCATTGAATTTCTTTAAGGATTGCAGATACTTCAAATCGTCTATCAAGAATGTAGTATGAAGCCAATTATTAAGAGCCTGAACAATGTGTGTTTAACTTACAATTATGGATAGAATAATGTTGTTTTGCCACGTTAAGCTTTTGCCATAAAAGTAATGGAGTGTCCTTGATTAAAGCTTTACCTATCTCTTCTCCCTTAATTATGTTTGAAAAGCTTATTTGCGAGGGTATTTGGAATGAAATATTCTTCTTTTGGTTGGTCCATCCAGCCTCAAATGTTAGACTTGAAATTTTATTTAACATTTCTTCTTGTTCAGGATGTCTGAGGAACCTTTTGTCCCGAGGGAAAGGATTTACAAGCTTCAGCAGTATTTCCAAAACGCTCATAAACATACTTACCTAAAGGGGCGTTATGATGTAATAACCTCTGTTGGTATCCCTGTAGCCCTGGCTGCCTCATCATTATTTCTGATTGTAAGTTATTCCCAGAATACTAAAACTATCTGATCTTTGAGTTATTTAAATTTAACATCTCTTAGTTAGTAAAATTCTTTTTGTGTTTGGTGAACAGGGGCGTGGAATTTATAACATGTCTCATGGGATTGGAAAAAAAGAATGAAAGTTTTTTTCCCCCCCCTCTACAGTTCCTCTATCACTGCTCTACTTGGTTTTGTTAGCTTCCAATAATGTTGGCATGGGACTTGCATGCCTTTGATTTTTAGCTTTTATTACAAGTATTTTTCTTCTTCAATAATTTATAAATTGTTTTGTTGTGTTCTTGCCAGTTTATGGTTGCTTGTTTAGCTCTTATCTTTCTGAGCTTTCGAAGGCATGTTGAAATGTTTTTCATTGAAAGACATCAAATCTTATTTTGTGCTGAAGAGTTCTGTTTGTAGCTTCTGCCATTTCGTAGTATTGTTTGCTCGCAATTAGTGGTGACATGAAAATTTGAAATATATATATATATATATATATATATAGTTAAATTAAAAAGTTATTTTTTGAGTTTGAGGGAGCTTGTGTCAAATTAAGGCTTTGTTTGGGACAGCTTTTTTACTGCTTTATAAAACAGAGTTTTAGTACAAATTTTTTTATTTTTGTATTAAAATTTCATTTTAGAAAGCAATAAAAAAGCTGTATCAAACAAAGCCTAAAAGTGATTGTAAAGTTATTGTAAAAAAAGCAATTTTTTGAAAAGTTTTTATGGCAAGCAATCTTTTTAGTGCAAAAACTTATTGAAAATAGTTTAAAAGAAATATCAAATAAAGATTATGGTTGCGATTAAAAAAATAAAATAATAAAAAAGGGGTTCCAACTGAAACTTAGGTGATCATACTGGAAAATTAATATTTCATGACCATTTGTAATGTTTCACTGCTGCATGGACTAGAGCGGTGCTTGCCAGTCAATGTGCTCTAGAGGTCCTTATTTTCAATATGTGAAAGTTCTTGCTTATTCAAACAATAGTTACCGCTTACCGAATTTTGTATTAGCAGATGTCTTAATAGTAGCAGATTTATTGAAATTTTTTTTTGGGTCTTATATTAAAAATTTTTATATTCATTTATGATGTCAATATCACTAAAATTAATTGCATTATCATAATCTTCATTGAAAAGTTTTATAAAATATTTCATCCATCTTTGCTAAATACTCTCTTTTAATAAAATCATTTTTTGATCTTCATCATTAATGCACTTCACTTAGAAATAAATGCTTACTATTATTTTTTTTATTTGATTAATTTATACATATATCTTTCACCCCCAGAATCTAATCTATTATATAAATCATTAAAAGTTATAATTTTACATAATATATCTTTTTTTATACTCTTAACAAATATTTCTATATCTTTTCTAATTATCAAAATTTTTACATTTAAAATAATTTTTATAATAAATTTTCTTTTTTTATACAACTTGATTCCACCATTCACCAACCACCAATTATTTTTACTGGTTTTTCATTTAATACTCGAATCACATCTTTTGCAAAATTTGTAATATTACTATCTATTTTTTCTATGATATGACTCGATCTAATTGACCTATGAATGACGTCCGATGATCATACAGAATAATTTCTTTCTCCGTCTATAGAGCTTCCTTTAGATGTAAAAAAGGCGCTAGAAGAAAGATTTATTTTTTTAATAAAAAAAGAAGAAGAATATATCAATAAGAGCACCATTGCCAAAAGCTTGAGAACGGTTGTTTTGTTTCTAACATTATTAAGGGCAGGCCATTATACCATCTGTTGCCAACTATGGTAAAGTCATAGTAAATCTGGGTTTAAAAAAAGCTTGGCATGAACATTACTGAAGCAATAAAATGTCTTTCAATAGACGTATAGTCCTGCTTCAATCTTTGGGGTATGGGTAAAATCCATTTACTGTCATGCCACCATCAACCGAAATGATTTGCCCAGTTATATATGAAGCACAAGGCATACAAAGAAATGCTACCAGCGATGATACTTCCTCTGCTTCTCCAACACGATTTAGAGGAGTTCGAGACACCACGCTATTAAGAAAGTTCTCTTTCTCCAACAACTGTATGAAAAAAAAAAAAAGTATGAGGATATTGGACAGAGATCCAATTATGATGGGCTATATAATTATTATATCTACTTTGAAATATATATATAGCACTAATCTCAATGTAGATTCAATGATAATGAAGCCCACACCCTGACTAGATTTCGATAAAGATATCCTGACTTAATGTTTTTTCAATTATCAAGAAAAAATGCTTGATTTCTTGCTCAAAAACCATTTGAACAAATAATGTAGATTACATAATACATACACAACTACAATAAATCTTTAAAAAGAAGATTTCGATTGGGATTGCTTTTTTACTGCTTGATAAAGCAAATTTTTAGTACAAAAATTTACAAGAAAGCTGCTTTAAGAAGCAATAAGAAAGCCGTCCCAAATGATGTCTAAATCAAATATGATCATGATGATGCTCAAAACAATCCATCATAAGCTAATTATATGTGGCTTTTTTTTTTTAATCCATTCATGCTAATCTTTTTTTAAGATATTTGAATTCAATTCATGATTCTACAATAAGTTTAACAATTTTGATGTCAACCTAATAACTAACCTTAATTTTTGTCATCCAAATTTAGAACTAGAATGATAAATTTTATTTGCCAGCATCTATAATTTAGATACTTCTTTGCACGGACATCTAATCTCATTAGCTTTGTCTAATCTTATCTATTCAACTTAGGCTTCAATTGAGATGACTTTCACACTGCTTCTTAAAGCAGTTTTTTTTTTTATAAAAATTAAAATTTTTGTACTAAAAAGCTATTTTAAGAAGCGGGACGAAAGCCGTCCCAAATAAAATCTTAATATGCCTTTGCTTCTCATATTTGTGTGCATGAGTGGTGCTCAAGCTAGCAGAATCAATGTTAACTGTGACGTAATTTGGAAGTTGTTTAACACTCCATACCAATCCTTTTATCTCATATCCAACACCCTTTTAACATTCCGATCTCTAGTACAATCCTACTCCTTCGATACTAAGATATAGCCATGATTTTTTTTACATCAAAAATGAAAAACAGAGAAAAATAAATAGCAAAAGCGGGTCAGTCATGCCAATAGATGTAGTAGAACAACCATGAAAGAAATTCATAAGGTTAAACATAAGAGATTAAGAAACATTAACCAGTAAGCAAGCCTCTAGTTTTTGTATAAGCTATTAATTAAACCTATTTTGCAGAAATTCATTTTGGTACAATTTTCCTCCATGTTGCGTTTTGCCTATTCCATTTTCTTCTTCATTGTTCCACATAAAGTTTACCTACTTATGTTATAGTCGAATCCAACATCATTCATTATGATACATGTCTAAATTATTTAATTCTATCTTCTAGTTTTGCAATACATCGCCATCAAAATCAACTTGTCTATTACATGGTGAGTAAATTAAGCATTTAGATAATAAAGTGCTTAAAGTATCTTACATGGTTTACGAGTGAAGTCTTGATATACCATGGTGAAACAGAATTGATACGAATGTTGTCTTTTGCCCACTCACATGCAAGATTTTTTGTGATCTGATTCATTGCAGCTGCAAAGAACATGCAAACCAAGAGAATGAGAAAAAGAATGATACCCAACGCGGCTTAGCTCATGTGGGGGGAGCTCGGCTGGGCAAAGCCCAGATCCCGGGCTCAAATCCCATGGACGGCCGTGACAACGTTAAGTGTTGGCCCGGCTAAATTGGTGTGGGTTTCCTGCTAGGTCGACCGAGATTTTCTCGCCGCTTTGCGGAGGGGTTCCTAGTCACAAAAAAAAGAAAAAAAAGAAAAAAAAAGAATGATACTGTGTATGTTACGACATATGTTTTACCTTTTGTGGCAGCATAAATTACACCGCTAGATATGGCTACCACACCAGCAACCGAGGAGATGAATACAATGCTCCCGTTTCCCGAGGCTTTGAGAAGAGGATGTGCAAGTTGGCAAATATGGAATGCTGCATCAAAGTTGGTCTTCATAATGAAAGAGTAGTCCTCTTCAGAATAATCAACTGTAGGTTTCCTTATATTTGTTCCAACATTGTTTATCTGAAAATTAGATAATTTATCCATTTTATTATAAAGCAAAAAATACAATATATCATAGTCATACTACTCATAAACATAGTGGTACTAGAAGAAAGCATGAAAATGGAAAATGAGAACAAATGGAGGCCTCATAAATGTGAATGATATACTAAAAAAATACACAAAATAAATGCATCAATAAGAACTTTTAACAAAATTTTATTACTGCACAATTTAAAAGAAATCAGCTTGGTTTGGCTGTTGATGGATCAACATGATTAAAATACAATTTTTTTTATTCAAATAACTCGATTCGATGCTAAAAAAGGTTATATTACAGCACAATTAAATAGAAATGTGCTTAGTTTGGTGTCCATGGATAAAGTAGATTAAAACATAAATGTTCACAGGCCCAAAAAGACCAATAAATTGATGGTCAGGATCGAGAAGCTGAAATTGAGCTTAGACTCCTGGCAAGTACATTGAACCCTTTCCTTGGACAAGAACTTCATCTAGTTTATAAAAGTATATCACGCCTGGCAGAAGAGAATGCCATTTTATAATTATATCATCCAAAAGTTAGGGATTTAATGATACGCCAATAAATTCTTCATACAAGTAATAGCATCCTAATCAATCTAACACTTTATAATATAATCTGATCATATAAGAATACACAAAAATAGCAATCCAATATAATTTGATCAAAATTGAATAAATTCACGCTAGTCTTTGATATTTAGTTAAATAAAAAATACTAGATTTAATTTCTAATGCCCTATTTCTATTTAATAAAAATAGATAATATATGTCTTAAAATTATGATGTAACACGATATTATGCTACCTCTGCACAGAATGCTCATCCATTCACGCCTTTGCAAGATATTAAAGTACAAAGAGGAATCCAAATTTCTGATAACCTTTCATCCAAAGAAAAAACAAGTACTTATAGCGACTAATGGATAAGCGATTATAAATTTAAAAAAAAAAAGATTTTAAAGAATATTCTTTCTAATAAAAAAAAATATTCCTTTATATTAAAATAAGCACGGTGGTATATTAGCAGGAGTTAATAGAAGAGGGTAATAGAGTAGTAATACTTAAAATTCGGGTTGCACTTCACTGATACAGTTGTTTGGTGGTATACTAATAAAAAATACAGCAATATTTTACTGTTCAGATAACTTGGGAAGAAGAAGAAGAAGATTAGCGGTGTAATATAGACGAGAGCTGCTCACTTCTCATCTAGAATAGAAATATCATTTGTCCTTATATATTTTTTTTCTTTTCCCATAAGTTTATACTTGGAAATATCTGAACTGAGAATATTTGTGGTCCGTCATTGTTGAAACTAAGGTTTTTGTGGGAAAGCTTTTTTAAAACAACTTTTTAATACAAAAAATAAAATTTATGTACTAAAAAGTTGCTTTAAGCAGCATTAAGAAAGCCGTTTCTAAGACAAAAAAATATAACAAGTTCTCCAATCATTTTGATTGTTGGTAGTTTGCATTAAAAATTTGAACTATGAATGGGATAATAGAAAATTACAAAAATCTGTCATAAACAATGCTTTTAGTCGACATTCAATTTTCTTCTATGCAAAATATTGCTCACTTGGATAAACAAACAATTGGGAAAAATTCTACAGCATAAAGACCACCGAATAGTACTTTTTATTTCATAATTTTGATGAATTGACAAATCGTTTAAATATTACAGAAATTTTGATGAATAGCTATTTCTATTAGTACTGATCCAGATAACCGTACGTCATGGGAGCTTGTCAACCCCATTCTTGGCTTGACAATTTGGAGACTGATGAGACTTTCAGCACGCGGCCAACTATTATTATTGCAGTTTTCATTCACTGTCTAATTTTTTAAATGTTCATCATTCAAATTTATTTAGAAAATTTTATTATGACTATTATTATTATTATTTTTACCATCATTTATATTTCTATTATTATTATATATTTATATTTTGTTTTTTATTAGTAAAAATGTGAAAGATTGAGGGTTGAAATTGGATTGAGAGCCATCCATAAAACATGCATCAACAACAACAACAACAACAACAAGCTTTTATCCCACTACATGGGGTCGGCTACATGAATCATTTTTCTCCATTGTGTCATGTTGAAAGTTAAATTCTCATTTAAATCTAATAAAAAAAGGTCATTTCTAATATTTTAACAAGTGTTTTTTAGGTCTACCTCTACATTTCTATAACATAAATCAATATAATACATCTACTTTCCTAACCGGGTCATCGAAAGGCCGCCGTTTTTGTGACCAAACCATCTAAGACGACTGCCTCTATCTTATCTTCCACAAGAGCTACTCCAACCTTTTCAAGTATACATTATGTCTCTAAGAGTAAAGCCACTCATCCATTTGAGCATCGTCATCTCTAGAACACTTAACTTAATATTATGCTTCTCTTTTAATGGCCAACATTCTGCACCATAAAACATTGCAGGTCTAACCACCATGTTATAAAATTTTCCCTTAAGTTTGAGGGGACTTTTCTATCACACAACAAACTCAATACATTCCTCCACTTCAACCATCCAACTTGAATTTTACTAATAATAACTTCATCTATTTCACCATTACTCTGAACAATAGACCCAAGATATCGAAAACATGTACTCTATAACTTGGACTGGTTTGTCAAAGCGTGAAGGCCGAAGAAGATTATAACACTGGCAAGTTTTCTAACGCGAGTGTGTTAGCATTGAGACATGTAGGTTGGTAAACATAGTGAAAGAGAACTCCATAATCATTTCCCATTTCAAAATTAGTTTTTACTCTTTGATTGCAGGATTAGGATGATGATCTTTAATCCAAGGGGACTTGTTTGGCTACAAATTGGATTTAGTAAATAAGAAGATTAAAATCTGAAAACCCTTTGGAATCACAACCATTCAATCAAGTTAAATCCTACAAACTATTTGGCGAGAAATTTTTAAATCTGTTAAATTTCCTATAAATAATAAGATTTAACAAATTATGAATTTAATCAATAATGATGTTAAAATGGGGTATTTTAAAAACAGTAAGGCTTCATTTGGGAAGCCTTTCCTACTGCTTCTTAGAGCAACTTTCTAGTACAAAAATTAAAAAAAATTGCATTAAGAAGAAATAAGAAAACTATCCCAAATAAAGCCTTAAAGTCACCAAATTAAGTTTGGCAAAATTTAATTTAAATTTTGCTTGAGACCTGCCTAATATGGAAAAGGAAAAAAAATCATCAGTCCATCCTAATATGATTTTTCCACCAAACCACCCCAAATTCATTGTACAATAGGAAAAAAATAAAAATAAAAAATCAACAAGTGCAACCCAAAATGATAGGACCAATATTTGCTTATAGAAAATGTTAGGATTGGTCCAAGTTTAGGCTATATTATTCCGCAAGATTTCACACCTACGTAAAATCTCTATAAATACGGGTTATAGGTTGATGTGTAAAGAACCCAAAACCTGCTATAGCCCATTGAAGTGAAATAAAGAATTCCTGTGCGATCTCTTTTCTCTCCTCCCTTCACTCTCTTTCTTCCAATAAGCTTAAGAAGAGCCTTCTTCTCCCTCAAGGAATTCTTAACAAATGGTATCAGAGCCAGGTAGAGGCAATCTCGAGGTGGAGGAAGGTTCTTAATCAAAGAGAGGAGGCAGAGCCTGGGGCACATGGGCAGGATGCGCGGACGTAGGTGTTCTCGCAGGAAGAAGGACACTTACATTTGCATGAGGTGGGCAGGAGAGGAGGTCGGACGTCTGGTCGGGTTCTCAGGATCGGACACAGGTGTAAAAAGTGTCGTCCTGTGGGCTTGGGAACATGAGAAGGTGAAATCGCATAGATCGCACGGGCAAGAGAATGCACGGGAAATCGCGCAGGAGATCGCACAGGCTAGTAGGGCGAATGTTGTAGGGGCCTAGGTGGATGCGAGCCAGGCGAGCGAGCGCGAGCATGCAGCGCGGACACTTTGGTGGGCCAGACGCGGGAGCAAGAAGCACAAATTCATGCTGGAGGACCTAGGAGCCATGATCGGGGCATGTTCAATCAGCCCTAGGTACGCACAAACAGGAGACTGGCCAGCAAGAGGCATGATTGGGACTAACCACGCAGAACAAGCAGTTTTGTGCATGGGCTAGGCTTTGACTGGAGTTGGGGTAGCAAAGGGGTTGTCGTAGGTGGGAGTAGGGTCATTTGGATTTGGAGTGTCGGAGCAGCGGAGACAAAAGCAGTATCAAGAACCTCAGAGCGAAGCTTGCGGGATAGATCACGCTGGAGGAAGCCACACGTAGGAGTGCGCAAAAAATGGGCACCAGACTCGAGATCGGATGGGTGGTTCTTGTGACGTCACAGGTCATAGCGCACATAGGTGCCAGGAGAAGACAGGAGAGCCGGAGGGTGCTTGATGCTAGAGCGTATGCGTGACGCATGATAGAAGGTCTGAATAGCAGGCGCAAGAGCGTGAGAGCTAATGATGCACAAGGTACGGGCATACAGATCACGAGAGGACCGATGATAGGAGTAGTCACACGTGGTTTAGAACCGCGAGAGTGCAAGCTAGAGCCATGGATAGAAATGCACAATGGTGGCTAGGTGCGAGCGGGATCCGGCTCGATTCGATGGGTTTGCTCCTGGAGTAAGTTCAGGGAGCCGGTTGGATCGATCGCAACAGTTGCAGTTACAGGCATACGAATGTTCTTGAAGTCCAGAAAGAGAGAGTAGGCGGTCGGGAGATCTCAGGTGGAGACCAGCCAGAGCCGAGCTGTGCTTCGCAAGTATGGGCCACAAGCATGTTGGTTTTAGGTTTGCGTGGGGGATCTTTTGCGTATGGGAGGTGGGCGACAGGTTTTGCACCAAAGAAGGCAGAGACGAGGGCTTGCGATTGTGAGTTGTAGCGCGGGCTAATCCGATGGCAATCTTCTTCCCCATGAACCAATCAAGTTTGGGCACATTAGGCGCCTATTCTTGTTATAATGGAGAGCAACATTGAGGCTTCTCAAGCGGATGTCTTCGTAAACCAGGAGGTGCTCGTCGTTGACCTTGCAATTACCAAGGAGGATGAGGTTGTGATGCTTGATATTGCCAATGGTCTCCATCTCGTCCGTGAACTCATGAACCCCTTGACCAGTGATGTGAATGAGCTTCTTGATAGCAAAGATAGCGACCTTAATGCAGCATCAATGCTTACTACCATAGAAGCCTTCCTAGTACCATTGGCATCGCAGCGAAGGGCTTGTAGGCGAAGGAGAAATCTTCATGGTGGATTCACAGAGCATAATGGCGACGTTATTCTTGGAAGGGCGGTTGTCGAGGCAGTGGCTGGCGCAAAGGAGATCAATGTTGAGGGCTTGGACCATTTCTTCGACCTGGATGTCATGTTGGCCTTGGAGATCTCTCTTTCAATTTTTTTTATGTTTAGACATTATAAATCTAGATCAAGGTCGAGATTGTTGATATTTGATTTAGATTTAAGTATTTAGTTTAGGTTTTACTATTTTTTCCCTCTAATTGTTTTACTATAAGGTGTGGCTAGTACGTGTTTGATGAGAAAATTGAATAAAGCTGAGTTTTATTTTCTTCCAAAACCCCTCTTCCTCTCCCTCTCCTCCAAGAAGCTTATTTCCCCTCAAGAAATCCCAACAGATAAATCAAATCGCAACATAAAATATCAACAAGTATTTTTGAGAGTGGGTTTATCCATATACTCACAAGGATATTGAGCTTTCCATCAAACACCGAGGATACCTTCTGTATCAAATCCACCCGCTGCTCCCGAACGGAGAGGTCGCAAATAGAGCCAGAAACGCGTAACCCTAACCCCTCCCATTTCTTCAAACAATCATTAAGCTCCGATTCTTTCCGAGAGCACGTGTAGACAACCGCTCCCAGCTCAGCCAGCTCCTCCACGACCGCGTTACTGATCAAACAAGCACCAAACCAAAATTTTAACAAGGTGAGGTAGAGAGAGAGAGAGTAGAAGAGAGAGAAGCGGACCCGATTCCTCTTGTGCCACCGGTGACGAGAGCCGTCATTCCTTCAAGCGACCATCGCCCTGCTTTACGGCACTTCCCGTGCTCTGCATCACCCATAACTAAAATGCAGCAGCTCCTCTCTCTCTCTCTCTCTCTCTCTCTCTCCTTCTTATATATTTGGAAGGATGAAACCCTTATCCTGTTGGTTTCAGACTTCTATTTAATTTAGTCAATAGTCATTACCAAGGTTTTGATAATCGGACCGGACAACGAATCGGAAGAAAGAGAGGTTCAAAGTTTGACCACCGGGGTCGAACCGGCTGACATAATATATTAATATTATAAAATTTATAAAATGAATTATACATTTTCCTCTAATAAATTCAATCTAGCTACATTTCATTTTCATATTCAACTCATAAAATAACATAAGTATTACATCAATTAAATTCATAAAATATAAAAAACATAACACATAATATAAATGTGGCATCAAATAAGTAAATAAAATAATAAAATATAAGCAAATATTTCATAAATAAGTGAATAACTAACCAAATAAGAAATTTTTGAATGCATACCTTTTGTCAAGTGTTGGATTTTGAGGAAGAAACCTTCTATAATATGATTTGGATTTTTGCAGTGTTGCTTGGTTTTGCCAGAAGCATTTCAAAATTCGTCTGCCATATAAAATTTGTTTTAATAAAAGAATAATTACAACATTCAACAAATAATTAAATACCAACAAGGAGTTATAGGATTAGAAGCATACCTTTTTGCATGCTGCTATATTCCCCTTAACTCCTGCTAGATGTTGTTTCATTCTATTTATTCCTCCTCCCTTGTACACAATACCACAATGCAAACATTTGAATTGTCTCTTCCCCTCAGCATCTTTAATCTCACTAAAATGATTCCACGCAATATCCACTTTTTCACGCACACTACTACTTGAAGCTGCACTCTGAGTTCCAGATGCTTCCATCCTCATATGATCAACTAAATACAATCACAATAATGAATTTCATATGAATTATGAATTTAAAGATTGAGTTCTTTGAATGTAGACATGCCAAAATGATAGAGTTGGCTATGAGCAAATGTAAAAGACTAAAAAAATTGCAAATCGGATACACAACAAAGTCTAGAAAACCTTGGGATTAAGATGAATTATGAGGATTATGCTCTAATTATTAATATAAATCTGAAACAACCATATAAAAATTTTAAATACAAAAGACAACTACATTGAGGGATTCAAGTCATTCAACAAATAAATAGATATTGCTAACAAATAATCATATTGAGATAACATGGAAATCCAATAAAATAAAAACTAAAATA